GTGGGCACCTTTGCGTTGTTTAAAAAGACAGATATAACTTGCTTGTGAGTGTCAGCTCTAAGGAGATATCCACAAGAAAAACTGAAAACTTCCCTTTCTTTATCATCCTTGTACCTGCTATTTAGGCAAAGCCAAGGACGTAGCATGGTTCTTCATAATGTGCTTTGTCAGGTAGGAGACACAAAGCTTTTTCACACTACCAGGAGGCACAAATTCTGAAAATCTCTTTTTCTTCTAAGAGCATCAGTCAGTGTAACTCACTGTCTCCAAGTCTCTAGTAACAAAGGGGTCTGTAGTCAGTGGTGCCTTCTTCCATTAGCACCTAATACTCAACACTGAAGACATTTTGCAGACTTTTGAGTGGCTGTTCTGGCTGTTGTGATGATGACTATGGGAAGGGAGATCTGTTCTCTTAAGGGAACAAGGGTGCAAGTCACATGGGACATAGTAGGAGTCCTGCTGTATAATGTATTGTGTGGATAATCCTCCACAATCTAGAGGAGGATCATTGGGAAAAGGTGGGTAACCAGAACAAAAGCTTAGCTCAAGGCATTACAGATATATTTCAGTTATCTATTATATCAGTCATGAGTTTCATATAATCCAACATGTGGAAGAGCACAGGAGGCACAAAGCCTGCCTCTAGGAATTTTTTATATAAACTAGAACATGACCAGAAGTTGGCATAAAAAATCAGATGTGGAAATATTCTATTATGGTTTTATTTTGGTAATCTAGTATCCGTGAGTGCTTGTGGCTAACCATGTAACCCACAACCCCTTTATCTCCAAATGAAACTGTGGGGCAGTCAGTTTAAGGATGTTATCACTAGTAGTAGGGTCAATGTAGGCCACTACAGCACCAGTAGCCCAGGTATATGGTCAGGCCAGGGAACCTGAGCTAAAGTGGGCCATTGAAATGGTCTGGGGGCTTGTACTAGGCTGTGAGGTTAACAGTGGGGGAGCCCAGGGTGTTAATTTTCTCTGTTGGTCTAATTAATCTAATTTATATGCTATTTTATGTACTTCTATCCACAAGAGTTTCATATTTACTCCTTTTGGAAAGCATCCTCTTTACTGTTGAAGGGAACTTGAAGCTAACTTGGTACACTTCGAAAAAGTAATTAAGTAGTAAACTAAGAACCTGTGTATTATGCTGTGTAAATTTGCATTTGTGAAGCACAGTAGGAAAATAATGGCAGCAGCTTCCATTTGTAGATAAATTAATGTAATCTTGGTGGTTTGAGTTTTCTATAGCAAGCTGAAGAGAATAAGAATAAATTAGGCTGACCCACCCTGCATATACAGAAATTATGTTTTTTCTGCCAACATTCAATTTCCACAACTGGGACAATTGAGAAAATAAAATACTGTGTAAGGAAACAAATCTGCTGCTGAATCGGAATGGACCTTTACTGCCTGACTGACAATCAGTTGACATTCAATTATCATGTTAATTGAATTAAAGCAAGCTAGAAATGACTTAATTCCATAAGTATATGCTCCTGTCAAGTTATTTACCTAATAATTGTTGCTTGCTTGATGGAGGAGGGGAAAATGACCTCATAAAAGATTTCTCAGATGATAAAAATAAAATTAAAAATTACCACTCTAGAGTATAAGTAAGCAAAAGAACAGAAGCCTGCTTCTTGCACAGAAAAATGTTAAATGTGTTACTGGAAATGATGTGTTTCAGAATCTGGCACTGTCTTAAGCGTGAAATTCAAAAGAGCTTCAGCCATTTTCTAGAGCACACTTGAATGATGACACAAGCTTTTTCCCTCCCCAGAAGTCCTGCAAGTGCAACTCTTTTATACTTACTACAATGCAAAACTATTCAAGCCAAAAACAAACAAACAAGCAAAAAATTGAAAGAGGCAGCTGACTTACCTGTTTGAGGTGCTGCTGCAAGTGCTGAGGGCGCTTCCCACTTGCCCTGCCTTCATAACCCTCCACTACAAGTCCAGTCTAGCACAGTCAGTGAAATGGTACCCACTGTGAGGGCCATATTCATAGGCCTTCAGACAAAAATATTGGCAGCCAGACCTTGTCATTGCCCATGAAACGTAACGACTCTAGACAGCCAGAACTTACCCTAATTTTTGGTATAACCTCTTTCCAAGACCTGTCTGGATACCTTTCTGAGTGACCTGCCCTAGTTTTGGTCGTGCTCTGGCAGGGGTGTTTGACTCAATGATCTTCAGAGGTCCCTTCCAACCCCTAACATTCTATGATTCTGTGAACCCACTTGAATGCTGACCTAAACAGTGGGCATCTTCAAAAGGTCAACAGCATATAGACAGTGAGAGCTCAACCTGTTGTCCTCAGAGGACATGCTAATGCCCTTATGAAGATGACAAGGGCATTGGCCAGACAAACCAGCCTGTGGGCCAGTGCAAGACATCAAAGCAGGCTGGGGTCATAAAAAATCTCATCCAGCAAGGACTTTTTTACTATAATGACCTTCTATTATATGATTAATGTTTATATTACCATGGAAGATACGGTGTTCATGTGACTATTGGCTCACCAGAAGACCCAAAAAGAGAGCAAGATAATGTGTACACTGAACAGGGTAGTTGTGTAGGTAGGAAGTAATTAAATAATGGCTGTATGATGCCATTCCTATTAAGTGAGAAGTGTGAAGTTTTAGGTGGAGGTTTATAGAATTGTTGTTAGCTTCATATTGCTGAGTTAACCTTGTGCAATATGACTATTTGAGGGAAAAGTCAGGTCCCAGAGGACCCTTTCAATATGCTCTGAACGTACGAGCACAGCAGGAGTGTGTATTTTTTTTATATATTTGTGTAATGCAAAATAAAACCCAATATGGAAGCAGTAGATATATGATCTTTTGAATATCATTATCCTGTGTAAAATTCTTTGTTCAACTCAGTTTTATAGACTGGCTATCAGAACGACACAGAGGCATTGCAATTTATGAAGCAGTATAAGTTAGTCTTTGTTCTGTAGGTCAAGTTGAATTCATTTTAGCAGCTAGGAACAGCTTGTTGACTAATTTTTCATTCATTTTCAAAACAAACAGTGCATTTCCCTAATAATCACAAGCGATTACAACTTAAAAAGCAAATTGCTACCAGGTTTTTTTGCAAAACAATATATCAGCCAACACTATATGTTTATCTTAATCTGTAGAAATTACAAGGGTGCACAAATACAGTTTCACACCTAAAACCAGTCTTTGTTCCTCTTTGGTTTTATATTTACAATTTTAGAAGCCAAAGGTTTCTCTGTTTCCATTATGATTGTTTACTTCCCCGGGAAGCAAAATCTTTAATCCTTTTTGGCAGCCTCTGAGTTTTGCCAGCCTGTATCTGACGTTTGTTCTGCCTCTGAAAGCAAATCCTCAGTGAAACAAAAAAAATGTTTCATGAGAACACTATTTTTAAAATGGTGTTGTACTGTATACTTCCAGTCTGACACTACCACTCCCATGCCTGCAGCTGTATTGTCCTTTGTCTGTGCAGTCTGTACTGCCAGGACCTCTCCGTTATGGGACTGATGGTTTTACTGGAGTATTGGAAGATTAAAATAGGTCACTTTAAAGTTTCATGCAGTGTATGTACGTGTGTGTTTTCCAGCCATGGAATTTAGGAGAACACCTCAAAATTGTCATAAGTGGCTTCAGCCATCTTTTACTTTTGAACCAATAGCTGGGTTAACTTGGCAGCATGGAGTGGGAGGGTGGATATTCTTTACTCTCTTCATGGAGGCTTTCCATAGGTGCACAGGTTGTGCATTTGGCTGGAGAAGTGGTCAACAGAGAATCAAAGCTGCAGGTCCATTTGCTGTAATACTGTGAATCCCAAGGGCCTATGAACATATGAATTAACCTCTGCATGTGACTTAAAAATTGTGAAATAGTGCAGCAATAAAGAAAGTAGATTTTCTTTCCCTTTTTTGTCTCACTTACTTTTAAACCTTCTGTTTTGATGTTTTTGAAGCTTATCCCTGCTACAAGTAAGGCTAGAAGTCAATCCTGCATGGTTACATGAAGTCAAGATACTTGCATGAGTCCTAAATCTACCTTTTCAGGAAAAAAGTAAAAAACAAATGCAAAACAGAAAACCCCAAACATAAACTAGTGAGAAACTTCTGATGATATTTATGAAGAGAAATGCTGACTTTTTCATGAATCTGTCACTGACATGGATAACAGCAAGTCATTAGCTAGGCTCCGTTGGTCAGAAACTAGTTCTTCTCCTGAGAACTTTTAACCTTAAATATCTACATATGCTTTTATAACGTCATGTTACTGCAGTGCTATAAGGTCCTGACTAACCCTGCAGATAATCTTTAATCTCGAAATGTGGGCAAAATTGAAGTGATTGTCCAAGCTCTTTAATCTATTATGAGATTGTGCACATGCCGCATTTAAAATAATTTGTTGAGTTCAGAGAAATGTACAGAAATAGATCCATGCTCCTGAGAAGTTAATTAGACCGATATGGGATCAAGACTAGAATAATGACTAACATTTATTATCCTTAGCAGCGCCATGAAGCTTCTTTGACTGCCCCCAACAGTTTATCCAAGAAAGAGATAAAGCCTCTTGGCTGATCTGTGTGGTGCTGTCATCTCCTCCTTCATTTAACTCACATGTCTTTCTGCACATTCTCATCTTCCCCAGAGGGTTTTAACTCACCTCAGAAGTGGAAGCCAGTGGAGAGGCCCACACCTGCCTTCCCCATCCCTAAAGGTTCCATTTGCAAGTACTCCCCATGATTCACTTTGAACAATTAAATCAGAGATGCTATGAGAGATATTTTTTTTTTGGTACTGCTGGGTAGTTAAAGGGTGTTTTACAGTTGGAAAAATATTTTCTTTTAAATATTTGATGTTTATTATTTCACTCTTTAAGCAAGATGAGGAGGAAAGGCTGTTTACTTAGAAAGACTTTATGAAGATGCATGAGACACACTGGAGATATATAAAAACAAAACCAGATTAATTTACCAATGTGACACTCTTTGTCTTTAGGTATACAAAAAGAAAACTGAAGCTGCCAAGAAGGAATATCTGAAGCAGTTAGCTGCCTACAGAGCAAGCCTCGTATCCAAGGTAACACATAATGTATATACATATACATATATATATATAGCGACATATTGAAAACCTTTTTCAGCATTTACAGGGTGCTGAGTGTCATATTATGTAGTGCAAATATCCTTGCTTGTTACCACCTTAAACCTGGGTTTAAGGTGCAAATGCTCAATAAACCACAGTCATCTCTCCATTGAAAGGTGTCCTTTAACCCTTCTGGTCATGGCGACAGCACTTCTCCAGGCTGGCAGTATCATCGCAGTTCAACAGAGGAAGAAGGTACAGGTAAAAAGATCTCACTCAGTGTAACAAACACGCCATGCCAGGCAGGCACTGTTCTACCTGCAAGGGAAAAAAACATGTCGTACATAAAATGCCTTGGTTTGGCTTTATGGGGTTTTTTAAGTGCTGGTTTTTTACCTTGCAATCACATTACAGAAAAATTCAAGCTCCGCTTACATAGCAAATTTTCATAATAAAATGTGAATTTCCATTTCAGGTTGAGCAAGTGATTTGTGTGGGCACACACAGGTCATCTTAAGGCTCTCCCACTGGAACACACCAATGTATCCTCAGTATACAGCTAGTAGCAGCTCTCTAAATTGAGTTATACAAATCTTCTTAATGCCCATAATTTTCTTAATGGTGCCTTAAAATTGTAATAGACGTTAAACTATGCAGAAGAATGTGAAGTAACTACTCTGTGCAGGGGCGGAAAAACAACTGAGTAACTTCAAAACCACACAAATTAGAATCACTTGGTTTCGGTCTGTCAAAACAAATTTCAGCATATTTTGTTCTTACATAAATAAATTAAAAAAAAAAAAAAATAGGTGTAAAGATGGCAGTATGAAGGACTGGCATATATGACATGAGTAGAACTCCTCTTTTAGTCTTAAAAGTGAAGTTAGTCCTGCACTTTCCTGTATATTACATAGACTTCTAATATACATTTTCAGGGAAAAAGGGTATATGATTATCCTTACAAGGATCTCTCATACATCTTTCCACTTTACGTTAGTATTTATTTGGCCTAAATTTAAAAGTCTGAAATATGGGTGTTACCTCATTAATTCAGGGGAGGGATTGCTTTTAAATTTTTTAGCAACATAAATAGTAATGTATTTAGTTAAGGTGATCTACAGGGTACCTTTAATTTCTGTCTTAGAACTGTTTGGTTCTAGAAATACTCATTGCCTTCAGAAAAGGTCCTGTGTGCAATCAAACCAAAATATTTTGAAATAGTTTGCTTATTGGCCAAGATAGGTCTAAAAGCTTGAAATATTCCAATAGCTTTTGAAGAAATGTACGAAGCCAGCGTTTGACTTGTGAAAATAACTTGGATGTCATTACTCAGCACATCATGGGCTGTTTACCTAATGCTTTATATAGCTTGATTTTGAAAAGGCAAATATATTTTAAAATACTTGTTTTGCTTTTATTTTTTTGGAAAGAGAAAAAAATGTATTATGGTATTTTCTGAGGTTTGTTTTTTAGAAAAGGAAATTACACTGTTGATCACTTCAGTGCATGAAGCCGTTTGTAAATATCTGTAATATCTGTAAATTTGTTGTTAGTCAGAAAAGCACTGAAGCATTTTCTTAACTCTTAAGCAATTATTTGAATTCTTCCCATAATATAATGTTTTCCTCAAGTGTGGAAAGTATCAAAATAGAAACTTAATGAAGCTAAGTACTAATTGCTTACTCTCATGAACACATTCAGTGAAACGAACAGAAGTGGCATGTAACTAAAGCAAGTTCTTTTGGAATTAAGATGTAAAATACCCATATGTAATATTATATCAGTATATTCTGAATTATCATTATTAAATATTTACATGGCACTAGAAGAGTTGGGATTCTTTAGATAAGCATGTAAGCATGAAGAAATATATGTAATACATTATTAAGACTGTTGGGAGTCCATCTGGTCTTTTATGTCCATGTGTTATATTATCATCCATAAAAGATAATTTAAGAGAATATTATTAAGATTCCAAGACCTAATTCTCAAAAGTTAAGACATGCCAAAAGTAACACACCTTTTCCAAAAATGCTTTAATACAATATTAATGGTTTGCTCACATGGTATATTTTATACTTTATGCCACCCTCTGTGTGAGTCTCATGTCATACATTTATAATCAGGTGTTCACCCTGGGAGCTCCTCTGTTGTATTTACAACATGTTGTCTAACCTTGCTTCTTTAGGGGATTTTCTGGGCTGTTCAACCCAGCAGTGTTTTAGTGCAAATAAATTCTCAGTAATGCTTAGGAGCAGGAAGCTTGTATTCCACCTATTTTTAAACACAACTAAATGATTGTCATACCAGGTTTTCAGTAATTTTGAGTGTCCTGCTTGGGACATCTAGAACTTCATTTATCAGAGTAGTTGACCAGTCTTACACCCTTCATATTCACAGCAGAGCTTCAATGACTTCAGGGTCAGCTGGCTGGCAGCTATGAGGTGTTTGGTTGTGCCTCACATCACATCAGGACACCCTCTTGCTCTCTAAATGATAGGAGTTACCAGTTATCAAACTTCCTCCTCCCATCCCAGAGAACACTGCCTGTGTGAGACAGGCACAAACAGGCAAGGCTTCTGCTCAGATCCCCTATTTCCAGCTCAGCAGGTGCCTCACACCTCCCAGGGGAGCTGCACTAACAGTTTCCTAGCTTTTACACACATTTTTCGTTAAGTACTGCCATTTTTTAAACAGCTAGTGAGTTTAGGGCTTGCATGTCAGTGTTTGCAGATGTTTTTCTGCATTTACTTGCAAGACTTCATTTTTCTGAAAAGCAAAGGAATGGCCATATGCCGTGTTATACGTGAGTGAACCAGACTTGGAATTTAATTCACTGCACCTATCTTGGCCTTGGAGATTCTGGAATAGTCAGGATAAAAGATTGCAGAGAAATTGAGTAAATCTCTTTTTACCAGGCAATTTCTTAGCCCCTGCCTGGCAGCAGAATAATGAAATTCGGGGAGGTTGGTTTTGATCCCAAGCTCTGGGGTGGTAGTGGAGTTTCAGGTGGAGATAGTAGATTTCTCCATGATCCTCATCCCTTTTACCCCTTTGCTCTGCTTTTTCTTATTATCTTTCACCCAACCTCTACTTCAGCCAGTATTTTTTCTAGTAGTTTCTCTTATCTTTAGCATCCTCACTTCTTCATATACCTGTAGCCATGACTGTATAGTGAAGGAAACTGGAGACAAACATGAGGGACAAGCTACCTGCTCTTCATCATAGAATGTCTTGGGTTGGAAGGGTCCTTCAAAGGTCATCTAGTCCAACCACCCTACAATAAGCAGAGACATCTCACACTATAACAGATTGCTCAGAGCCCCATCTAGCCTGACCTTGAATGACTCCAGTGATGGGACCTCCACCACATCTCTAGCCAACCTGTTCCAGTGATCCACCACCCTCATATTAAAGAACTTTTTCCCAATGCCCAACTTAAATCTACCCTTCTCTAGCTTGAAACCATAACCCCTTGTCTTATCCTTACATGTCTTCGTAAACAGGTCTTCCCTAGCCTTCTTATATGCTCCTTCCAAGTACTGGAAGGTCACTATAAGGTCCTCCTGGAGCCTTCTCTTCTTCAGACTGAACAACCCCAACTCCCTCAGCCTGTCCTCATAAGAGAGGTGCTCCAGCCCTCAGATCATTTTTGTGGCCCTTCTCTGGACATGTTCCAACAGGTCCACATCCTTCTTGTGCTGAGGGCACCAGAGCTGGATGCAGTGTTCTAGGTGAGGTCTCAGCAGTGCAGAGTAGAGGGGCAGAATCACCTCTCTCCATCTGCTGGCCACACTTCTTTTGATGCAGCCCAGGATGTGGTTGGCTTTCTGGGCTGCAACTGCACATTGGTGGCTCATGTCCAGCTTTTGGTCCACTAGTACCCCCAGGTCCTTTTCCACAGGACTGCTCTCAAGTGTGACCTCCCCCAGCCTGCATTCATATCTTGGGTTACCTCGGCCCAGGTGTGGGACCCTGCACTTGGCCTTGTTGAACCTCATGAGGGTCACCTGGGCCCACTTCTCCAGCTTGTCCAGATGGCATCCCATCCCTCTGGCATGTTGACTGCACCCCCCAGCTTGGTGTCATCAGCAAACTTGCTGAGGGTGCTCTCAATGCCACCATCAATATCATTAATGAATATACGAAACAACACTGGGCCCAGCACTCTCCCCTGAGGGACACCACTTGTCACTGTTTTCCATCTGGACTTACAGCCATTGACCACTAGCCTCTGAACTTGACTATCTTTCCAGTTCCTTATCCACTGAACAAGTCCACCCATCAAACCCATATCTCTCCAATTTAGTGAGAAGGCTGTTGTAGGGAACTGTGTCAAAGATGTTGCAGAAGTCCAGGTAGATGACATCCACTGCTTTTCCCTGGTTGACTGATGTGAGTCGCTCCATTGTAGAAAGCCACTAGGTTGGTCAGGCAGGATTTGGTAAAGTGGTGCTGGCTGTCATGGATCACCTCCCTGTCCTCCATGTGCCTTAGCATGTCTTCTAGGAGGATCTGTTCCAAGATCTTCGCAGGCACAGAGGTGAGGCTGACAGGTCAGTAGCTTCCAGGGTCCTCCTTTCTACCCTTTCTAAGAATGGGCATAATATGTTGTCTCTTCCAGTCACTAGGGACTTCACCTGACTGCCATGACTTTTCCAATATCATAGAGGGTAGCTTGGCAACTACATCAGCAAATTCCTTCAGGACTCTAGGATGCATCTCATCAGATCCCATGGACATGTGTATGTTCAGGTTCCTCAGATGGTCACAAACCTTGTCTTCGCTTACAGTGGGAGGGACTTTGTCTCTTTGGTCTCCATCATATGGGCCATCAACTTGAGAGCTGTGAGAAGAGGGTTTGCCAGTGAAGACTGAGACAAAAAAATTGTTGAGAATCTCAGCCTTATTATTTGTTGTTACAAGTTCACCGCTGTTGCTCACTGGGGAGAGCGGGGTATACTTCTTTAACCTTCCTTTTCTGGTTTACATAC